AAACGAGATAGAATTTCAAGCTAATTTCCAAATCGTGCGATTAAACGATCTACGATCTTGGGAATTCAGACCACTAACAATAAGAGCTAGTTCATGACACGCGAGATCGTAGTTAGAAAATTCTTGTCGCACATGGTCCAGCACGTCATTCCGATGTCTCACTGTCTCCACTGTTCCTTTTCAGATCCTGACAAACCGGAGGGTTACGACGAGCCGCATTCGCAACAGACGCGAATAAGTAAGTGAGCACGGTGTGGAAAACGAAGGTTTATTTCCGTCGCGATGGTGCACCGCCGCGAACGGGTTTCATTAGTTCCGTTTCCAACGCTGTCCTCGCCATTGTGCCGCGGGGATTTTAATAGACGCGCGGATAAATTTCGAAGAACACTCCCGCCGTCTAATTTCCACCAGCGGACGAGTGAGCGCGAGCCCGCCGAATCGGGACTTTGAAACCCACCGGATATCGGCCGGAGAACAACGTCACCGACGGAAAGCTGAATAGCTTGATATTTTCAAACACGTCGGCGATGATTAAAAAATATTTTCAATCAAAATCCAAACGATAAATCGCCCTCTGTTGACACTCCCCGCTGATATACATACGTCGACAATGCAATCAAAACTTCATTGGAAGCTTTTCCATGTCGGCTATTCGTACGAAATTAATATCCGCATTTCGAAAAAAAAAAAAAATTTTTTTTTTTTCTTTTTTTTTCCCCCACATCGTCAAATTCACCTCTGGCGTAATCTGCGGACTGTGTTTCTGTAATAAACAAACTGCAGATATTTATATGAATTTATTGTTTTTGTAAATTTTGTAAAAAAGTGATTCAACGAATGGAGCCCGGATGGACGATAGTTTGGAAGTTTGCAATATTTTCTGTAAATTCTTGCACCCTCGAACTTCCTACAAACGCATAAAAATTCGCAGTCCAGTATCCACTTTCAATATTTCACAACATTGGTGAGAGAGACAGAGAGAGAGAGAGAGAGAGCCTCTTCGTATACAAATTCGTAATTCAGACTCGGCCAAGACGTCGCAATCGATCCAATTTTTTCGAGCGGATTTAAAAATACAATCTTCATACTTTGCGCTCCGTCCAATGGGAGAACTTTCCAAAGAGGATTTCCTTATCTCCTTGCAAATACAATTATTCTTCTCGTTGTGTTTGTTTCGGCGGGAGGTAACGCGCTCGCTGCTTCTCACTCGCCTGCTATATTTAAATCGCATTTGTGACCTCCTCCTCCTCCTCCTCCTCCTCAGACGCTGCCACGATTGAAGTTGCGAAACTGAATTTTTCCGCGTGCAAATTACACGAAGGACCCTCGCGAACGCGAACTTTCGAACTTTCGGCGCAAATTAGTGGATGTTTCGATGTCGCGATGGCCTGCGCGGAAATCTCACGAAACCTCGTCAATGTACATTTCGCCAACGCCATTTGCACCGCCATTTCTAACTTTGCGACATTCGACTGTATGAATTTGAATTTTCATAATCGTTCAATTCGCGCAGCGTTGTATGTCTCCGATATATATCCGGTGAAACTTTGTCGTGAGATATTCTTGACGAGCGTAAATAAAAAGAGAAAGGAATAAGGAAAGATGCAATAACTATAGGTCGAAGCTTCGAATAGCTGGAAAGTTGTAATGAAAATGGACACTGATCGTCGGACAGAGGTTCATTCCGACGAAACGAGTGGACTTCGCGAAATAATAAATTCAATTTCCCACTGATGTCAATTTCCTGGCTGAAAGAAGCAGGACGAGTGTTAATATCCGGTGACTGTTTCAATTAGAAACTTATTCACGTTTCTTTTTATAAAGCTTCAGATATCAAATACAATGTCTCTCGCGAAAATGACTTCGAAATGAAATCTCATAGAATGACTTCTATATTGCATATAATGTTGAATATTTTAAAATTTCATTAACATTACAAGAACACCGACATAATTATATCGATGAAGCTTGAAATAAACCTGAAAAATTGCAAAAGCATATTCAATATGTGTAACACACTCGTGAAAAACAAATTCAAATGTTAAATGCTAATAAATTAGCTACTAGAATTGGACTTTGGAAAAATCGGATTAAAAATGAAAGTAGAATCTCGGTAGTTAACCTGGTAAATAGCTTGATAAATTTCCCAAACGTCGGTCTATTTTCCCGGCGTAACTAGGCGACCGTATTAACGGAGCTTGATATATTTCCACGCAGCGAAGTAGAGGAATGTCGTGACACCTTTATACATCGTTGCCCCGTTAAAAAATCATCCGACAGGCGGCTTTTTATTCCTCCGACCGGGATCCAGTCGACATCAATCACTTAAAGATAAGTGCGCCTCTTCGTTGGCTTTGACGGCCGGGATCTG